GATAAAAATCAATATGTCCCAAGGACTCCTTAATAAATAAAACAAAAAAAAAAAAAAAAAGAACCTAAGAACTGCAGTGTATATAATAATTAGGTCAGAAGAACTATGTAAAACAAAATCACCATTTTTTATAAAATTGAATTAAAAATAATGTAAGTGGTATTGAACAAAAAGTATATGTTTTCTGATATATATACCTTAAAATAAGTTCCTCAATAATATTATATTTCCTTAATTAAATGTATTTATCAATCACTTAATATGGGTCAATCTAGGTTGTTTGTGCTAGGAGTACAGAAATTTTAAAAACAGCAGAAATTTTTGTTCTAGTGGTAATTATAGTCTAGTGGAGCTAGACAGATAATAAACAAGTAAAAATATAGTATGTCAGGAGATGAGTGCTGTGGAGAAATATTAATTAGAATAAACCCACCAAAAATGAAGATTACAACAAAAATAAACAATTTTCCAATGAATCAATTCAGACTTATGGCAACCTCTTGTGCTTCAAAGTAGATCTGTGTTCTGCAGGACTTGTAAGTCTATGGTCTTTCCAACTTAGAATATCAGGCTTTATTCTGAGGCACTTCTGGGTTGGTTTGTAAGGGTCACTTAACTGTTTGCACAACTAAAGAACAGAATAAGAGAACAGGAACTGCCTAATGAGAGCAGTTGGTTGCACTTTCAAGTAAGTTGGTTACGAGGTGAGATTAGAACAAATACTTGAAGGGAATGACTGAGGCAATGAGCCAAATGGTTATCTGTTTGAAAAATGTCTAGGGTATTCAAAGAAGCCAAGATGACTGAGAGATAGTGGGAAAAATTAAAGTCAAGCCAAAGAGGAACTGTTAGATCAATGTAATGATTTCCTCTTATTCTAGATAATAATGCCTTAAACCAGCTAGAACTGGGAGAGTGGTGGCTCCATGGGACAAGCACTGAACTGTGAACCACACCAATCAGCAATTTGAACACACCACCCATTCTGTGGGAGAAAAAAATGAGGCTTTCTGCTCCCACAAAGATACACAGCCTCAGAAACTGTACATAAGGTCACTATGAATCAGAATCAATTTGACTGCACATAACAACAGTAAGCTGGAACTACATTTGCTAACTGGAAAAAAATTCTAAAGAGTTTATCATTTCAACTGGATCAACTTGGGCCAGAGTAAGGTGAAAGATATCGTTAACGATCTTGAAGGGAACACTGGTGACACAGTGCTAACTTCGCTGCTAACATAAAGGCCGATTGTTTGAACTCATCAGCTGCTCTGAGGGAGAAAGGTTGGCAGTGTGTTTCAATAAAGATTACAGTCTTGGAAACCTTAATGGAAAGTTCTACTCTGTTTCATAGGGTAACTCTTAAAGAAGAATCAGGTTAACTACATTGGGTTTGGTTTTGCATTTAGATTTTGTAAGGCATTCTGATGGTGCAGTGGTTAAGAAACTGACTGCTAACCAAAAGGTTGTCATAACCAGCTACTCAGTGGGAAAGAGATGTGGCAGTCTGCTTTCCGTAAAGTCATAGCTGTGGAAAATCTATGGGCCACTTCTCTGTCCTATAGTTTTGCTGAGTGAATTGACTCAACGGCAATGGGTCTGAGTTTAGTAGAGATTTTGTAGATCCTTGAAGTACTGGTAAAAGTAAAAAGTCTGGGTCTACTATTAATCTTGAATCCTTAAATCAATGAAATCACTAGAATGGAGGGGGAGTGGCAAGCTCAGAATATTCAGGGATGTGATTAGATATAAATATTGTTGGTTGGATCACAATAAATGTTTTAAACCAAGGTGAACCCTTGAGAGGGATAAGAAATAGATTTCACATAATAAAGATAAGCATTTCAGTCTGACAAATATTAAGATGAAGCAATTTGATTTCATATTAATTTGCAATGAACATGGTAATGGATTATGGGATATTAGAGGGACATGAGAAGATGTACCTGTGCATTACAGGAGAGGATGTTTAGTATTCAAGCAAAAGCAAAGGAGAACTTAGATGACTTCATTAGAATTCCATGAAATGAGGTACATGATTTGACTGTGACAGTGATGACAAGATACTAATCAAGCCTTCTTTACATCCTATCATCCATTTAACTTGTGGTCTCTCAGCAATGAAAGAGAGTCTTCAGGATATGCCAAAGAAGTCTAACAGTTTGGAATGCCACAAAATCTCCTCATATATGAACTCAGCATGTGGTACCAAGATTAGAGATACTTGCTTTGGAGCCATAATTTGCTCCAGCTTGTCATCAAAGTAGTATCAAACCAAAAGACTGCTCAAGAGAAAGAGGGACATAAAAGATATTTATTAACATTTCAGCAGCTGTTGCTCAGGACTTCTGGTGTGGTGCTATAGGATCAGAACTGGACAGTGATCCACAAAGTCAGTAGTTCAAACCTACCAGGTGTTCCTCAGAAACCCTATATAGGGTCCATATGAGTCAGAATCGACTCTGCAGGACTTAACAGTAATAACAACAGCTGTTATTCAGGTATGTTAATTCCCTTTTATCAGATACAAAGGATAGGACATCTTGGTCTGCCAAGGCTTTTCCCTTGAGTTCAAGAAGGAAAGGGAAAGCAGGTATGATTTTTAAATTTTCCTTTCATTAGACATTATAGCATACATACAGAAAGTGACATATAGCATAAAAAGTACAGATTAATTATTATAGAGCAAATAGCCATGTAGTTATTGCACTTTGCTCAATAAATTTTTTAAAAGTACCTAGAAGTTTCCATTGTTCCCTCAACTAAACATACGTGTCTCTCTTTTCTCTAAAAATAAGAGTAACTTTTCTTTTTAAAAAATATGAGTTTTTACTATTCTACATCTGTTAATGATGCCACCCAAAATACTATAGTTGTGATTTTCCCACTTTGGAAACACTTATAAATTGATTCATATTAAATTATTTTGTGTCTTTTGTTTTGATTATTAGTATTGCTATGATATTAATCAACATTGTTATGTTTAAATGTAGTTAATTCATTTCCATTGTTATATAAAGTTTTACTGTATGAACTCACCACAACTTATTAATACAATGCTCTGTTGGTAGAGATCTATGTTGTTTTGAATTTGAGAATTTCTTATTGTTAGGTGTCATTGAGTCAGCTAACTCATAGCTACCTTATGTATAACAGAATGAAACACTACCTGATCCTGCACAAACCTCCCACTCATTGCTAAACTTGAGCCCATTGCTGCTGCCATTGTGCCAATCCATCTTGTTGGGTGGGAGTCTTCTTCTTTTTCATTAACTCCACTTTACCAAGCATGATGTCCTCCTTGAGGGACTGGTCCCTCATGATAATATGTCCAAAGTATGAAAGGCAAAGTATTGCCATCCTGGCTTCTAAAGAGCATTCTGGCTGTAGTTCCAACACAGATTTGTTTGTTCTTCTGGAAGCCCATGGTACTTTTAATATTCTCCTCCAACACCATAACTCAAATGCATCAATTCTTCTACAGTCTTCTTTATTCATTGTCCTACTTTCATATGCATATGAGGTTATTGAAAATACTATGGCTTGGGTCAGCTAAACCTTAGTCCTCAAACTGACATCTTTGCTCTTGAACATTTTCAGCACTGCTGTCCATAGCTAGTCATCATCCATACAATTGAAAGCCTTTGAGAGGTCAATAAAGCACAAAAAAAAGGTACACATCTTTATGGTATTCTCTGCTGTCAGCCAAGATCCATAATTATATCCCTCACAAACTTCTGTCAGTGTACTTACTATTGCAGCTGGTTTTTAAGTATCTTTAACAAAATTCTACTTACAGGAGATATTAATGATATTGTCCAATGATTTCCACATTCCAATGGGTCACTTCTCTTTGGAATGGGCAAAAATATGGATCTCTTCCAAACAGTTGGCCAGATAGTTGTCGCAAATTTCTTGACATAGATGAATGAGTGTCTCCTGTGCTTCATCAGTTTGCTAAAAGATTTTAACTTGAATTCCATCAATTCCCAAAGTGATGTTCTTTGCCAATGCCTTCAGTACACCTGAATTTCTTCCTTCAGTATTATTGGCTCTTGATCATATGCTGCCTCTTGAAATGGTTGAATATTTACCATTTCTTTTTGATGCAGTGACTCTGTATCTTCCATCATCTTTATGTGCTTTCTGCATCATGCAATATTTTGCTCATAGAATCCTTCAGTATTGCAAGAGGAAGGTTGAATTTTTCCTCAGTTCTTTCAGTTTTAGAAATGCTAAGCGTATTCTTCCATTGTGATTTTCTCACTCCAGATCTTTTCACATTTCATTATATTATTTGACTTTGTTTTCTTGAGTTGCTCTTTGAAATTTTCTATTCAGCTATTTTACCTCCTCATTTCTTCCATTTTCTTTAGAATCTCTATGCTGCAGTGCAGATTTCAAAGTCTGTTCTGACAACCATTTTGATGTTTTCTCTTTCTTTCTTGCATTCTTAATGACCTTTTTTTCCCTCCTATATGGTGTTTTTGGGTGTCATCCCACAACTCTTCTGGTCTTTGGTCATTAGTGACTAATTCATCAAAGCTGTTTTTGATATGATCTCTAAATTCAGGTAGGATCTATTCAAGGTCATACTTTGGCTCTTGTGGACTTTTAATTTTTTTCTTCAGTTTCAGCCTGGACTTAATGTATGAGCAATTGACAGTCTGTTCGACATCTGACCCTGATCTTGTTTTGGCAGATGATATGAAGCTTGTCCACCATCTCTTTCTACAGATGTAGTCAATTTGATTTCTGTGTATTCCATCTGGTGAGGTCCATGTGTATTGTCATCTTTTATGGTGTTTTAA